ATTATATTTCTGAAATCACTTTCTACCATGAACTTGACATTTTAAAAATAATTCTTAAATGTATATAAAAATGGGCACTCTGTGGTGAGATGAACATATATTTTGAAAAACTAAGAACATCTCTGCTCCAACACTGTGCATAGGAAATTACATAATGGAACAACATAATGGAACAAAACACTATTCTGCTGCCTGAATCATCAATTATTGGTGTCTCAAGTGCATGCCTTTAAAAAAAGACTAATTTAGATATTAAATCTAGGATCAGAGGATAAGATGATAATCTCAAAGTAAACATAATTGATTTTTAGCTTAATTATAAGGCTGAATGGATTTTAAAACTTCAGTCTTTAAAGAGAACAATCTTGTGTGGTCAAAATCCTTTTAACTTCTGATTTTTTTAAACTCAATTTAAATTGCCTAATTGTGAAATCTAATGTGAAAAATATTAGTCTTATTTCACTCCCCTTAATCATATAAGCTCTGAAAATGTCAGTAATGGCAGACTGGCAGTCTGGTTTTTTTTTTCATTTTTGCAACTCAATCAGTATATGAGATTTTCTTCTAAACTCCCTCAAAAATTAACAACTGTACAGAATAGCCAACTATGAAAACCAGTATTTGTGGTATTTCATGTTCTCTCAAGTTAGAACTCAACTCTGTCCCTGATTCTTATTTCTGCATATAAAATAACTGCACATTCAATCAAGATAACTATTAATAACATAGGAATTTATAATAAATTTACCAAATATTTGGATTAAACTACTGTGCAAAATACTTCAAGAAAAAAATTTTTTTAATACAGATTCATCCAAATAAAGTACTAGTGTGAGTACCAGCACCTCAGATATTTTTAAACAGCACCTTTCCTTTGAAGAGCTTAAGCAGAAATATCTGAGTGGAATAAATCAGGGTCCCCAGTTAAGACCTTAAGTATATGCACAATCCCATCTAATTGTTTCAAACTCATTAGTAAAGCTACACATTTGCCAGAAAACTCCTGAAGAGTTAAGCAAATACTTTCTTTGGATAACACTGTCGTATTTGTGATTGCACCATATGGCTCATACTCTGGAAATATGCTACTACTACTGATATCAAATGCAACACGTCCCAAACTTTTATGACTGTCACTAAGTCATCTAAACAGAAGTCCAAATGTGTGCAAGCACACTGGCTGGTAACATTCTTCCTGAATTATGCCAAAAAAAGAATAAAGTCAAGTTTGAAATGTGACTATAATAACTAAGCACTAAGATACTTACTGGTATAATCAGGAAATGTATTTATCCAGCTTGTAAATTTGGATATTTTGATATTGCACACAGTCAATTTAAAGCTTATCAAAACTAAGGCGATGTATCCCCACTACCTGGATTTTAAATTCATTTTCGATAACTTAACTGAGAGAAACTGAAAGTGTTTTTCAAAAGTGCCCTTCAAAAAGCAATTATGTTATACTTCCAAAAAAAAAATATCAATGGGATATTAATTAATACCCTATGGCCAATTTAACACATTTTAGCACTACAAAACATTGTTTTCAACTAGACTTAAGTGTTTCTTTGCTTTGTCAAATACCGTTCAAGACTAACCCAAGCCAAGGTAGGCCGCCAAATTTAAGGCAAAAGTCAAGTTACTGGACTTTTCTGTAGATTCTTTCAAGCAAAGAATCTACCTCATAAATACATTCTAAATACCAGTTGAAAACAGGATTTAGAACCGATTTTAATTCTGCATTGGTTGTAGCTTTCACTATAATACATTATTAAAACTTATCTAGCTTTTGAGACAATCTGTTAGTTAAAAATTCTTTGGAAACATCCTAGGCAACTTATAAGAGTATACTTTTAAACAAGGGCTCTTTTTTTTTTTTTAATTGGGAATTTTGCTTTTCTTCTGTCAAGCAGTCTTTTCTTTCTTTTTAGATTCTAAAGTTTAGAAAAATATCTCACAATGCTTTGTTTGAGCACAGTATCAATGATGGTGATAACAATTTGGACAGTTTAAGTATTCTTGAACCTTTACCCCAAGTGACACACAGAATAATTTTAATTTTTTCAAAGACAGAACAATTTCATAGCACATTCAATTTGAAGATTGATATTAATTTTGACTTGAAAGTGAGGCTTGACTTATTCTGTCCAAATTCTAACACATCAAAGTCATTAAAATGAAACTAATAATGAAGTAGAACAGGTTTTCATTTCTATGGAGACAAGTTGACATACAAAAACTAGATTAGCCTTTTCTTCCTGAACTAACTCAGAACTGCTTTTGTTAGAAAAAAATAATGTATTTTATTTACTTGGATACTTGCTTTAAAAAGTTATTAATTCTTCTTCCCTAAGAGCTAGTTATTAGAAGTTAAAACAATTCAACTAAATAGATTTCTACTCCAAAATACATTTATCTTTGGAAAGCAAAACAATAGTTGTAAAAACATTGTATTAAGAGAATAAAATGAAGTGACCTGAAATATGGGTGAATATATTCACACATGAAAGTGTAAATATACAGAGCCATTCAAATACACATTTAGAAAGAGAATGGCAAAGTACCTAAAATAGCATTTTATATATAAAATTTTTATATTAAAATATTGCTCATAAGAGGTGATATTGTGAATTCCATTTCCCTCTTAAAAATTATCTTTAGTGTAGTATAGAATAATCTAAGGAGTCTGTTAATCTTCTGTTGTTTTTACAGGTGAATGACATTAAAAGAAGTTTAATAAAATCACACTGTAACATTATATTTAAGTAGTCACATGTGGTAAAAGTTAGGGAGGGGCATCTAGTAATTATGGGGAAAAGGATTCCCAAATTGAAACAAAATGACTAACCCTAGAAGACTAGAGTATAATGATCTGCTTTATTTGACAAAGATGTTAAATATTGCCTGATATGCTTTGCAAATATAATGACCATAAAAAATGGACCATAACCTTCTTCAAACTTCTTCAAAGTCTGCATGCCTGGCAGACCAATAAAGGGAAGGGCATACGAAGTATAAATTTAGTTCAGTTGTTCATGGGTAGGTGTGACTTCATTCCTGTTCGCCCCACTTGCAGACATGGTAACTTGGAATAGTTCTTGAGGAGTTGTTCAATGGCAACATGGCGGACATGGAGCTCTGAGGCCAAAGAATCTTTTTCTTGTACTTGGTGTGTTAACTCTTCAAAAACTTCTGTAAAGATTTAAAAAGTAGTTTCATTTTAGTACACAGAAAGAGAATCCTATGGTTTGTATTTCAAGTACTCTAACTGCAATGCCTACACTGGGCAAATATTCACAATGAAACTGATTTGACACCGAAGAAACGGTTGTGTTTTCTACAAAGCCCATCAGTTCTGATCATCCACCGGAAGTCTGTACACTTTACACAGCCAATTAGAATACTATTTACCTCTTCTCCATCAAGTAAAACTTAAGAGTCATAAGCAAGGACTACAGAGATGCACAACAGGAATGGTGGTTACCACGACGGCTGAGCCGCTTTTCTCAATTAGCATCTATAAATAGGTTCAATCAATATTTAATAAAATTTATGGATAAGTAAGTGCCCATTAGTATCCAGGTCTGGAAATCCCTCTAAGAGGCTTTGGAATCAGACTGCCAGGATTTCCGAATCCTTGTTCCTATTCTTATGTGCCTTAGGCAAGCAATTCTTTCAATTTCCTTTTACGTGCAACATTGATAATGACAGTCAACACTTCACAGGGTTATTGTAAAGATTAAATGAGATCATACCTGTAAAGTACATAGAATAAATACTGATAAATATAAGTTGCTATTACTATTATTATTCTGAGAGGCTGTGTGGTCAAGACAGACCACTAGCGTTGGAGTTAAAAAGACAGGGGTGAAAATCCTTGATCTGCTACTAGCTGGATGCATGATCTTTGTAAGCAACTTAAATGTCTCTGAAGTGTGTAATTTCCTTACCTAAATAGGAATACGTTATAAAAAATATAAAAGGATACAATTGGGGAATTTGAACATTAACTATTAGTGTTGATGTTTTAAGGATTTATTAGCTTTTTTAAAGGTTGCGATTGTTTTTATAGTTATTTTTTAGAGAAAATATTGAAGTATCTATGGACAAAATAATATGTCATCTGAGATTTGTTTCAAAATAATCCATGCTGGAGATGGGAGTAGGCTGAGGGGAATGGATGCAAGTAGAAATGAAGAAAGATTAGCTATGGTTTTGGTAACAGTTGAAGCTGGTGAAGACAGCTCAAGGGGTTCACTGTACCAGTCACTACTTTCGTATATGTTTGAAATTATTCATAATTAAAGAAAAAACAGGGCTAATACCTTAAAGAGCTATTAGGGGGCACCTGGCACAATAGTAGGTAGTCAATAAAATGTTAGTAAGAGGTATAGATTAAGTTGTTTCTTCTTGTTTTTGCTCTTGAAACTCTAATAGGTTCAAATTATCTCATTTCCAAATTTAAATGGAGACAAAGCTAACGGGTACCCTATATCACAGGTGAATTTTCTATATTGAAATGTTCATGCACAAAAAAAGTTGAGACTGATTATTACCTTGGATTTGCTGTAGGAGCTTCGTATTCAGTTGCTCTACTTCACCAAGAGTCATTGAATTCACTGAAACATGAAAATATATTCATTGTCACCACAACAATTTGGGAAAAGAAGCTGCTTACATCACTAACACAATATCCTCTTAAAAAATTTGCACTTATCTGCCAATACGACACTCAGCAGTACTCCAGGATTCATCCATTAGCTCTCCTAGCTTGGAGCAGAAGTTTTCAAATCCTGACCACAACCCATAGTAAGAAACATATTTTGTATCACTCCCAGTATACCACCGCCTCTAAATTGAAACAAGTTTCACCAAAAAATGCCTGGTAGCAGGTCCAATGAATTCTGATATCTACTGTTTCAGTTTTTAAAAAGTGTTAGTCACTACTCATCAGGATGATTTGATTAAGCATTATATAGTTTATGACCCGCAGTTTGAAAATCACTACTTTAAAGTACTGCGGAAATAGTTTAAAAAAATCAATTTATCTAGCCATACAACTTAAGATAATTCACATGTGGAATCGAGATGTATAAAAAGATACTGAAGCTAAAAATCACATGATTTCAGGTCAATTAAAATTACCTCAGCTTCTGTGAGTTTTGTGGAAATAGATGCAGACAGAATGAGTCAATATTCTAACTTTAAAATAAATGCACACATTACCTATGGCCTTCAGTAAAATGTAAGATTTTTGCTTTTGAAATGCCATCTCCAGTCAATTAGTCTTGTAGGGATTAGCAACATGACAATGTCTATTAGCCAATAGTCAAGGCTATTCTAAACTGTATGAATCTTGAACTTTCCAATTCACACTTTGCTGATGCCATTCAGTTTAACCATTTAAAATGGCAAAACGTTGGGACTGCTGAACTTCAAACCTTAGGACATATTCAGGAGTATTCCAGAGAATGGATGGTTTTAAGATATTTCATTTTTGCTAAGGTGAACCTGTCATTTAAATACTAGGCTTACTAAATCTATGATTCTACATTGAAATTCTTGACACAACACACACATATAAAAACGTTAAAAAAAAATAATCCAAATCAAACCATTCAACTTTTACCTTTCTCCTCATTTTACTTACATTCCTCTCTGCTGTAATGTGGATGCTGGGTCTGGACATTAGCCTGTGGATTAGAGATTGTCTCTTCTTCTTTCTGTTCCTGCTTGTGACTATGAGGCCATATTACACTGTTATGGCAAAAAGTGGCACCTGAATCTTGTAACATAGCAAGTCCAAAGTCTGTATTTTCCCTCTTCTCCAAAATTCTTTGTGTACAGTTTGAGATGCCACCTGTACTTCCATCTACCCATTTTGCAGAATACTTTGGTACTTGGGAGTCAAACTGTGGGAGTAATTTTTTATCTGGCTTGTGCCTGAAATTAAATAGGTGATGCTGGGGGTTTTTAGAACATTCGGAATCTGAATCCAGATCCTTATTTTGTGCGTACTGTACAATCCAGTTTATCTTCTTACTCAAAATGGTTTTAACTTCTTCATAAGTACTTTTGGAAAGCTTAGATCGAGGACAATCCTGGTTTGCAATTAAATGGTATTTTTCAAAGCAGTCTTTATGGCCCCTTAATGATCTGGTGTGCAAGAGATTAGATTTTGGTACTCCTATAATAAAAAAAGAGAAATACAAGACTTGAGAACATTTTGTTTTTTATAAGTTGCTTTACAAACACACAAATCTTGGTAAAACACAGAGTCCTGATAATTTGTAAATCAGAAGAAAAATGCTAAAGAATATTAGTGTTAACATAAAATGTGGCCTAATAATTCCTGTTTCAATTATGTATACAGTAATATTAAATTCTTACGACTACCAAAGCCTTTCTAAGAACTTAATGATTCAATTTTAACCTTAGTCCAGACACGTTATTGCACACAATATTAAAAAGTGCTACTGAACCCAGCAATTTACCTTTAAACTCTTGGCCTTTACATTACTGTGCTTTCTTCACTAATCATCCAAGAGTACACACTTGCAAAAATTTCTATTATAAGTTTCAGTAACAGAAATGCTCAACAAGTTTTTATTTTCTAACAAAACATAGTAAATCACATTCTTAAAGTGTTAGTTATGTTTTTACTGGAGAAACATAAACCAGAACTAGAAAAATACACATTAATAAAAGCCTTGAAAAGTCAATGAACTGTTTAGATTTATTTTTTAAGAAAATGAAAGCATCTAATGTTTTCCACATTTCCATTTTATATACTTACTAAAGCTTTATCAAGACAATTTTATCTTCTAGAAGAAATGCATTACACACAATTATTTTTCATATAGCAGTAAATCTGCCAAGACACAAGAGCCAGTATAATTCAACTCACAAATATTCATTACATAGCATAAATAATGGAAATATTCATATTATACTTTTTATCTCCCCCAACTTTAGCTTAAATATGCTATGTTAATTGTTTTCTAAAATATAGAATATATTTTCAAATATATGTCAAAATATAGAATACATTCATACATTTTCCTAAGTCCAAGCCATATTATTAAAGTCAAACAGCAGTGCTTTTATATTGAAGGTGAATCAGGGATGTGGAACTGAAAATTAATGCCTACCAGAACTAACCAGTGTAAATCTGCTTAGCTTTTTCAACGGAGTAAGTGGAGAGCCACTCTGATGCTAGATTTAAAAAAAATGTTTTAGCTGATACATCAGAAAAAAATAAATTCTGTATTTATCCTTTGCTTTAAAAATGATAACAATTATTTTATTAACTGAACTCCAAATTCTGGCTAATAGTAAGATAATGATGGATTTTTACTTTAATTAGTGGTATATAATCAAGTATTAATTTTGTTCTAAAAAGATATATTATCAGCCAAT